GAATACGATTCCAGTTGGGACATAGCCAACCCAACTCAAATTTTATGGTAAGAAGATTCTACTTTCAAGCCAGCTTTCATATTTTGACGTATCCCATAAATCAGTAACAGTGACAATAACGCAAAGAAAATACATACTTAAGACTTTGACTTCCGCTGGCAAAGCCTCACGAATCTATTTTCGATTGTGGATTATAATAATGGTTTAAAATATTGACACTAATATCAACTTGTGGAAAGAGTGCAGTCCACCTTGTTTGATAAGTACGTTAGAACTTGTGTTCAAGTCAAGCACGTCAGTGGTTTCTAGTAAACTATCTATTTTTACATTACTATTTCTGATTAATAATAATTCTCATAATTTATACGATACATGTTTATTAACGTATATTAATATTCATAATATGAAAAAATATATTACTTTCCAAGTTGTTAATTTCTTTTATTAACTATTATTAATAAATATAAAATTTTATATACAATAAAATCAACAAATTAAATTTTATATCTTAAAATTCTGAGATCGATTGTATGAAAGATTAAAAAATGATTCATGCTAGATCATAATTTTGAATCTTTTCATGCCACTTAATTCTTTAAAAAACAACAATTTTATTTATTTTTTTCAACTTTTATATCATTTATTATTATTTACATTTATATTTTTCGTGATTTGCATCTAGAAGTTTTAGTTCTTCTAAATCTAAAAACTCATTTCTGCTAATTAATATATAGATAGATCTATGTTTTACATGTTCAAACCATCTCAAATAGCATTCTCTCATCTTTTTCTCAATTCAAACTATCCCTCATTTTTCTTAAATCTTTTCATTTTTTATTATTTTTTAATCTTATCACACATTCATCTAAACATTCTTACTTCGATAACACTATTTTTCTTATTTTATTTTTTAATGGCCCAATACTCAATTCCATATAACAACGCAAGCCTCACAATTATTTTATACAATTTCAATTTTAACTTTAAAGGTATATTTTAATCACATAATACATTTGACGCATTTCACCTCCTCACACATCCTACTTAAATCTTATGATTTACATTGCTTTTTATTTTAGTATCATTTTGAATAATTGATCCTAAATGTAATAAATGACTACTCTTTGGTATTACCTCACATTCAACTTAATCACACTAGCATTTGTTTTTCTATGATTACTAAATTTATATTTTATATATTTAATTTTAGATTTACTCAATTCAAAACATCGAAACTCCAATATATACCTTCATAATTCTAATTTTACACTAAAATCATCATTAATTTTAACAACTAAGATTATATCATTGATAAATAATATATATCATGACACCTTATTTTGAATACATCCAATAAGCTTATCCATAATTAATAAATAAATAAATAAATAAATAAGGCTTGATTTGGATGTCAACGGAACCATGGTGAGGCGCGATTCAAGATGTAAATCGTGCAATTTTTGTGTTTGGGTGACACCAATGCGGTGCCCCACTGTGATGGAGCTTCAATTGCTCACTGGAATCTCATTGGTCCAGTGAAAATTTTTTTGTTTCAACAGCAGCTTTATTCCATTTTTATCCTCATTTGTTTTATATTTTTTCAACTTTGTTCATTTTTTATTTTTTAATTTTTAATTTTTTATTTAAAAGTTTTCAAAATGATTTTTTTATAAGAAAATTATTAATTATTAATATTTACTAACAAAACTATTATTTAACATAAAAATAATTTAATAAATTTTTTATAATTTAATAATTTTATAAATTTAAAATAATTTAAAATTTTTATTACATATACATTTTAATCTAATGTCTATAATGATAATTTCTTTTCTCACTATAATTTATCTTAGTATCACTGTTTTGTTTGCATTCAAATGCATCTTCTCATCATTGATTTTAATCTCATCATTATAGTAACCAATCTCACCTCTATATCTGTTTTTAATCTCACCAGAATCAATCTCACCGTCTATCCAAACAAACTATTAGTGCTGAGTCTTGATGCAATCCTAAAGTAATGAAAAAGCTATTAGTCACAGCTCAAAACATCCTCACATTCATTACAACTCCATACATACCTTTAACTACATTAATGTACTTAAAAAAATCATTTCTTAATTAAGGCCCATTGAAAACACCTTTTGGGGAACTCTATTATATGTTTTCTCCAAGTTGATAAATACTATATATAAATCATTCTTTCTTGCTCAAAAAACTTCCAATAAAAGTTTCAATAGGTGAATTATTTCTATTATAAAAGCATCTTAGCATAAATTAAATTTGGTTTTCAAAAATAACGACCTCATGTCGCAACCTACATTCAATTACTCTCTCCTAAAATTTCATATTATGACTTATAAGCTTTATTCCTTGATAGTTCGAATAATTTTGTATGTTACCCTTATTCTTGTATAAAGACACTAGAGTACTCTTTCTTCATTCTTCTAGTATGTTTTGAATACATCAAATTTTATTGAAAAGATTCCTCAACCATCATATTCCTATTTCACCTAAGTATTTCCAAACTTCAATCAAGATTCTATCTAGTCCTATAGCTTTTTTACTTTCTTTATTCTCAAAGCCTTTTTAACCTCATACCTTTTAATATTCCATTAAAATACATAATTTATATCTATAAAAGGTATGTTAAGTCCATCTATATCATGTTTAAAATTAACATTAAAGAGATTATCAAAATAATCGTTCTATCTCTTCTTAATTTCCTCATCCTTCACTAAAACTCTTTTGTCATCACTTTAATCATCTTATGCCATTAAGATCTCTACTCTTTTTATCCCTTATCTTAGTAATTTTGAACAATTTTTTTTTCATTTTTTGTCTTTAGTTTTCTATATAACTGCTTATAAATCCTAGTCTTCGAATCTCAAAATGCATTTTGGCTTCCTTTTTTGTTGTCTTATATTTCAATTAACTTGCTTCATTTCTAATGTTCATTTAATTACTATAACACTCTCACTTAGCATTAATTATCATTTTCACATCCTTATTTCACCACAAAGATTCCTTATTTAATGGTGCATAACCCTTAGATTTGCCAAGTGTCTCTTTAGCAACCATTTTAATTATGGTAGAAATATTTCCCCACATTGCTTATACATCCTTATCAGGCTTCCAATCAACTTTTTTTACCAGTCTATCTTTAAAAGCTATCATTTTGTACCCTTTCAAGTTTGATCATTTAATACGTGATTCATGATTGATGTATTTCGAACTAGCAATTTATGTTGTATTGTCACATTTTCACTATGTATAACCTTATAATTCTTATAGGTACTTTTATCCTCTTTCTTAATAAAAAAGAAATCAATTTAACTAGCATTTGACCCGATTCTAAAAGTCAAGAAATGTAACTTTTGCCCCATAAAACATATGTTTAATATAGTTAGGTCAAATGCAGTAGCAAACTTTAAAAAATTATCCTCGATATTGTTTCTTTTTCCAAAGCTATATCCTCCATGCATTCTTTCAAAATCACTACAATCCTTGCCTACATGACCGTTCATTGTCTCCTCCAACAAATAAATTTTCTCTATTTGGCATGGCTCGCACAACCCTGTTTAAATGTTTCTAAAAGTTTTACTTGTTTGATCCAAACCTATTTATGAGATGTAAGTGCTAATAACGTTAATAGTTTTCTCTCATAATATAAGTTTAACATGTACAATTCTATCTCTTTTTCTTTTAACTTTAACCACATCATCCTTTAAATTTTTATCTATAATTATCCCCATTCCATTTCTACTCCTTTCCTAGCCCATGTACCAAAACTTAAAGCCCCACATTTTATCTCTCTAACCTTTTTCCATACCTACTTGGTTTTATGGAGACACATAATATTAATTTTTCTCTTAGTTATTACCTCTTCTATCTTTATTAGCTTGATAGTTAACCAGATCCTATATTTCAAGTAGCTAACCATAACTTGCCCAATAGACTTGCTTTTTTACTCATATTTATCAATTAAAACACAAGATCTCTTGCTTATTTGAAATCTAACTTGGGCGATGACCTAGCAATTACCTATTTAACACTACACTCGAACTCCAATGTAACGTGTTATTGAGAATTGATAACCTAACGAAAATTATTATTTTGATCTCTCATTATGATTTGATTATATTTTATGTTGACCATCATCCTATCACAATCCTCCTTCCATATTATAAAATAATTAGAGATGTGGACTCCTCACCAAACAAAATTTATATGCTTATTTATATAAGTATAATTTAAAAAAAAAAAAGAATAGTCATATGTCAAATGCTCGTCATGCAAATGACAAATAAATAGATAGAGTTATTATAGTAAATATAGATGTACGTGTTTGTGTGTATACATGAATGATCAAATTTTTATTTGATTTAATCAAGTTGTTTACTATATATAATAAGGAATTGCTGTCTCAAATTCAAATGGTTAATACAATGTTATTAACTTACTAGTCCTTAAAAAAACTTATTAGAATGGAGTCATGCCAGTCCGCCTAGTTCCACATTTGTTATAAGAAAAAAAATAAAAAATATGACAATGACATCTCAAATGTTATTACCTAAAAGAAAACTACAATACGAAAACATTACGAGACATTTTGATTTTATAAAACCTTCTCAATTAAAATTTACAGACTTACATTGTTTATTTACTTAGTACTATTATTTTTGTTTGCCAAACATTTAATTCTACTAAGTTTGAAAAGCATTTTAAGAATTCATATCTTGGAATCTTGTTCTTGTTTTGGACTGCGCATACAGAAGAGAAGGAAAGCAGCCAAAGACTACACGTTTTTTTTTTTTTGACCCTTGTTCCACGTTTATATCCTAATCATTTCGAGTCAGAATAAATATAAAAAATAATTCTAATTCAGTGTGACAAGTCAAAAACGAATTATCTTTAAATATAAAAAAATGAGACACTGATATTTGACCAAAATAACACGTTCAAAACCACGTTCAGTCGCGTACCCTTTGACTCTTTCCCTTCTATGTAAATAAAATCCTCCTCATCTTCTCTTTGCTCCGCCAGCTCCTTCTAAACAAACCTCTCTGAGAAAACAAAGAAAAAATCCACCTTCTTTTTTTTTCGTTTTGTTTTTATCAAGAACAAATTTTAAAAAAAATGAAGAATGAACTGTACATAACCGTACCGAGTGTTTTCCGGTGTCCAATCTCACTGGACGTAATGAAATCTCCGGTTAGCCTCTGTACGGGTGTTACCTACGATCGTTCCAGCATCCAGCACTGGCTCGAATCAGGTCACGACACGTGCCCCGCCACCATGCAGGTTCTGCCTTCCAAGGATTTTGTACCAAACCTCACTCTCCATCGTCTAATTAATCTCTGGGTCCAATCCTCCACTCGCCGGCCAGGCTCTGACTCTCCGCGGATGCTTCAGGCGACGCCTCTGATGATCTCAGAGGTTCAAGCTAAGCTATTGATAGAGAAGATTGAGAGCGAGAGCTGCGTCGATTCTTTGTCTAAGGTTGCCGAATTCATAAGCTGTTGTGAAGAGAACCGGAGATTTGTAGTTAGATTCGGCGGTTTCGTTGAGGTAATAGCCGGTGTTTTGAAAAGGAAATTCGTGGATATCAAAGCTTTGGAAATGGTGGTTAGGATTTTGGATTTGGTTTTGAGCGAAAACGGAGTCAAAGAACGGTTAAACAAATTATTCCTCAAAAGCAATCAGGAAAACAATTTCTTATCTACAATCGTCTTAATTCTCCAAAACGGAAGCCTCGACTCGAAGATCAAATCCGTCCGAGTTCTGGACTCAATCGCACTCGACTCAGAATCCAGACGCAAAATGGCCGACTCACAAAACATTGTATCCATCTTTCTTCATCTCCTCAAAACCAGCAACAACAATCAATCCTTAAACGACGCCGTTACCGCCTTTTTAACCACCGTTTCAATAACACGTTCCATCAAATCTCACCTCCTCGAAAACGGTGCCGTTGAGATCCTATCAAACTCCCTAGGCGAAAAGTCATTGAAGTTGTTAGCAGTACTCTGCAGTTGTAGCGAAGGGAGGTCAGCGATTGGTTCAGATCCGAAATGTGCCGCGGGGATAGTGGAGAGGTTGTTGAAGGTGTCGAAAACGGCGACAGAGGATGCGGTATTGGTGTTGTGGAGCATGTGTTGCTTGAGCAAAGATGAGAAAGTGAAAGAAGAGGTGGTTAAAGAGAATGGAGTGACCAAAATTTTGGTGGTAATGCAAAGAGAAGGGGAAGGGAATGTGAAGATGATGTGTAGGGATTTGGTTAAGGCTCTGAGGGCCGGTTGCAAAGATTGGTGTTTGGGAAGTTATGAAACCAAGACTACTCATATTAGGCCTTGTTGAGATTTTGTTTCTAATTTTTTCTTTTTCTTTTTTTTTTTTTTGGGGGGGGGGGGGGGGAACATAATATACACAGGAGAAAGGAAATTCAACGATTCTTGGATTTTGTTTTTGGAAAATAATTACTAGCTAGTCATTCTTTTATATTGATTTCAAAGGAAATACAACTCTTGCAAATGATTTGACTCCAATTCTGCCATTTTTTTTTTAAATTTTGATTGGAAAAATATGAGAAAGTTACTGGAAAGGATTAGGCTAAATGTTTAATTTAAAATTTAGTGTTTGAATTTTTTTGATTAAAGATATAATTTTTAATTTAATTCAATTAAAAACTAAATATTTGCATGTATACTCTTTAAGATTTATTAATGGTGCGAGTTGCGTGCGCCGTTAATTTACCAATGTCATTTTAACTACCGTTAATGCCAAATTTTGCCTGTGTTATCTTGGAAAAAAAGCTTCTAACTCTTTTTTCTCTCAAGCAAATTGTTTTAAATAGCAAAATGAATTACTCTCTTCATCAAATCAAAAAAAAAAAAAAAAAAAAAACAACAACAACAACACACAAGATACTCAAAGCTGTCTTTTGTATTTTGTATTTTTTTTTTTATTTATCTTTGCAAGAAAAAATTAATGGAGTTAGCTTTAAGTTTGAGTGATTCTTCAAGCCATTTTCGTTTATGGAGAAATCCTCAACTTTTTCAGGTCGATCTTTTTTCTTTCTCTCATGTTCCTCATACGCATCTTTCTTCTCAGCTTCGCTTTCCTTCTCTCACTAATAATCTTGAGCATTTCTTTTACCCCTTTTCTCCGAGCTTCATCTTTTCTTTATTATTTATCTCTCGATTTTTATAAGAAATGAAAAATAAAAGAAATTTGAAGTTTGCATTTCATGTATTTAAAATATATTACTCATATTTATTAATTACGTAATTTTTTTAAATATTTGGTGGATTTTTGAGTATTCTCCAATTTTTTCCATAAAAAAATCTAAAATCCCAATTCCCCACTCAAAATTGGTAAAAAAAATAAATCCCCAAAAATAATACCTGAATTGAAAGTGAAACTATTTCTTCGGCTTTTGATTTTGAGCCCACCTCAACTGTGTGCTACAATGCCTCTCACGCCAAAGCTGAAGATGGTGGGTCAGCTTCAAAGCCACAGCGCATCATCAAACTTGGTGATGGTGGGGTTTGCTCGAAAGCCACAACGCATCATCAATCTTGGTAAAACTTCTTATGGTAGCCGATAAGGTTTTCCTTGTAGCTTCTTCAATTATTTTTGGCTGCTTTTATTTGCGTATACAAAAGAAAGATTCAATTTTTCTGATTTTTATTTAAGTTTTTAAAAAAATTATTTCTTTTGCATAGAAGTGTGAAAGCAGAAGCGATTGTTTAACGCTTTTGGGATCATTATTTTTCTGTGTTTGACTTTATTTTTTAAAAGTTGATTTTTAGTAGCGTTGACTATGTAATACAATTTTATTTCTAGATTTGAAGTTTTTTTTTTTTTAATTTTTTGGTGATTTTTTTAATGTTAAAAAAGGAGGGAAAAAGAAAGGAATATGATGGGTTGGTGAATTGATTTTTGAATTATATATATATATATATTTTTTAATTGTAAAAGTATAATTTTATTCTTATTTTTTTCGTCAACCAATGACATACAAGCTGTTTCACTTTATCTCTACATGTGTAACAACCAGCATTATAAAATTTTTTTTTGAATTAATTCAAAAACGTTTAGTTTTTTATTGAATCAAATTAGAAATAATATTTTTAATTAAAAAAACCCAATCATTATATCTAAAATTAAATGTTTAGTAAAAAATATTAAGGGTATTTCAGTTCAATTATCAATTTATCAATGTTGGTTGAAAAGGCAGGCAGGGTCAAGTTAAACTTTGAAGAAGTGTTTTTCTGATTGGTTTTCATGGAAAAATTGATTTTGCCAACAGGCATACAAGAAATAGTTTGCTATCGGATTAGGAAAAGAAAAATGAGTGAAACTGGAAGAAGTTGAACTGGATGCCACTCTTTGTGATTGAGCTCCTGGAAAACAAAAAACCATAGACTAGTTTATAGCCCTTGGGTCTCTAATGGACCAGTACTGGTTGTTCACATGGGAGTTGCAACAAGTCAGTGAAATGCAAAGCAAAGAAAGTTGCACAATTCTCCATCTGCCTCTAACATTGAAGCAATCTTCTCATCAAGTCATTGCATAACAATAAGAAGCTTCTGCACGCTCGCTGTCAATTCTTGGACATCCATGTTAGTTGCAGCAAGTGTCTGAAGCCATGGAAAAGGAATCAAAAACTTTGTTATTTCATCATTGCAATAAAATAACTTTTCTCTTAATACATGCTAAATCATGCAAACCTTGGCGACAGTTTGTGAATATATTGTATGGTGTGTAGACACTGATTTTGTCCAGGTTACTATTAAAATTAAAATTAAAAATAATAATAATAATAATAATAATAATAATAATAATAATAAATATATTTTAAAAAATAATTATTAATTATTAAAAAAAAAGAAAAGAAAGAGAAAACAAGAAAAAGAAAAAAAAACAAAAAATAAAGTGGTTGGTGTACGACGTTATTGCCGCCCTCGACTAGTCACCCTACAGCCTATCTCCACTACCCACTAGCCGCCCACTCTCCTACTCGACCAACCCCCTGTCCAGCCACCAGACCAGACAGTCACCTTACAGCCACCCTGCCACCATATGTTCTTTTTTGAACTTCTTAAAAACCCTAACTTCTTCCCCTTGATTGGCTCTCTCGGACATCCCCTTTTGAAAACCTTTAGACATACTGCCCTCAACACCTTCTTGGACATCTAGACACACAAAAAAAAAACCCTTCAACCCACACCGACCACGAAAATAAAAAAAAAAAAAGACAAACAGTCCTCCCCATAGGGAGGAACCTCAGCGCCGAGGTCCATGTAAAAACAAAGAAAATAGATCAGTTTTAGTCTAAAAAAAAAGAAGAAAAAGGCAGAAAACTTCAAGCCCTGATCTACGACGATCGGGGCCATTTCTGACGAAAAGAAAGCCAGATCTGGAAAGAAGGCGTTGAAGAGAGTTGCCTGAATAATTTTTGCATTTTTTGACAATCGAAAACCGTCGATAACGACCGCCGACGGTGACTTAGGCGGCTATTGACGCGGTGGTCCGGCGACCAGACGGCGAGAGAGCTTTGGAGCTTTCCCCTTTTTTTTTTTTTTTTCTAAAACGCAAAAAGAATAAAAAAAAATTTTTCAGTTATATATAAAAGACTAAGGAGCAAAATGACGTCGTTTTAGGCCAAGGAGGATCCGCGCGTTGACCCGGATCCGACCCAGGATTCGTACAACCTGACTCGTGGACCCATTCTTCCAACAGTTGCTGATCGGTCCAATTGAACAGGTTTGAATCAGACTGAACCGTAGATAGCCAACCTGAATCGCTGAATGAACAGTAGAAACCGGTCAGACCGATCCAGATCAACGTTGACTAGACCGTTGACTTGTCCAGTTCAGGTAAAAAAAATTTTTTTTTGAATTTTTTATATATTATTATTTTTATTATTTTAAGTATTTTTTTTATATTGATGCATGATAAATTCTTAAATTTGTTAGAATAAATGTTTAATTTTTTTAATAATAATAAAATTGAAAACAAGTAATAATTAAAAATATCTTAAAAATGCTCCAAAAAGATAATTATTATTATTATTTTCCCTGCCTAGATGTTAGAAGGAATAAAAAACATTTTTCTAAGAAAATAATTCCGTCTAGATGTTGAAAAATTATTATTAATAAATTTTCATAAAAAAAATATAAAAAATTTTTAATTAATTTTCAAAAATCATTAAAATCGAACTTGTTTCGAAAATCCGCCTAGATGTTGGAGATTTTTAGAGATGTTCGTATTTTCTTAAAAACGAAACCTTAAACACTAATTTTTAATTTTCAAAATCTTAGGTTTCTAAAACCCCTAAAATCCAAAATCCCTTAAAATCCAAAATCTTAAAATCCAAGATCCTAAAATCCGAAACCCCTAAAATCCTAAACCCCCTAAAATCCAAAATTTCAAACCTTTAAACTCTTAAATCCAAACCCTTAAATCAAAACCTCAAACCTCAAATTTTAAAACCGAAATCCTAAAATCTTCAAACTCTAAAATCAAAACCCTAAACCTTCCATACCTTAAAACCAAACCCTAAAACCCTAAAAACTTAAATCCAAACCTTTAAAATCCGAATCTTCAAAATCTTGAAACCTTAATCTTTAAAACCTCTACTCAAACCCTTACTAAAAACATCCTAAAAATCCTAAGGACATGTGTGAAAATTTCATTTGAAGCAATTTGTTCTCGAATGTCGTTTAGATGATGGGATATTTAAAAAATTTTACTTCGTTAAGTTTTTTCACACGATTTCTTAATTTGCATTAATAATAAGATTAATAAATAAAAAGTATAACAATAAATTGAGATCTTAAATATAAACAGTCGCACATAAGCTCTGCCTAAATATTGGAGAGTCAGGGTGGCTTTATTATACTTAAAAATTTAACTTTTAAATTGCATCTCATCCTACATAACATTCATTGACATACATACATTAGCATGTTATTATCAGTATTTATTTACACTATTCTGTCTCTAATTTTTATTTACTACTTGATGATAAAATATTTTATAATAAAATAGGAATAATACTTTTTTTAAAAAAAATTGTGATATTTCAAAATAAAATAAAAATAACATTCCGAAAGAAATAATTCTTGGTACTCTGCCTAGATGTTGGAGAGTCACCAATAATTTTTTATAAAGAGTGCTATTTCATTTTAAGGATTGTTATGTTAAATCTTAAGCGAAAAGAGTTATTTTAAATTCTGCCTAGATGTTGAAGAATTTTAAGATAATTCTTTAACTTAAAGATTTTTTCAATATTTCTAAATAAAAATTTTTTGCAAAAATATTTTTTAAAAGGAAGGGAATTAGTATTAAATTTCAAGTCAAAACCATTTTTAGTCAACACCAAAA